TATTACTTATTCCGAAACCTTCGTTATTGCAAAATAACCCTGCATAATCGTAGTGTCTGTATTGATCATGACACATTGTAGTAACGTAATAAATAACAATATTTTTTAAAGTTTGAAATTGTTTTCAATTGAGAATATTTTGTGTTACAGTGTAGTTGAAAATGTTAATTAACAGATATATAGAATTACACATACAGTTTCGATATAGATCAGTTTTATAGATTTGATCAATCCCCATATTATCATTAGAACTCAGCTTAAGGTAGCTCTTATTTAGACAGGTCATGACTAAAAGCCGAAGTGGGTTACGGTTGGTAAAACTTAGGTGTATTCGGTATGTTCATAGAGAAAATTTGGTGTAAAGTAGGTGCTTTCGGGTAAAACTATGTATTTTAAAGTCCGAATAATAAATTAAAATGACTATGACTTCTATTTACATTGTCAAAAATACGAATTTTTTTTTTCAAGTAATAGCGACACTGCGACATTTGGTTAAGGTGCGGCTGCCAAAACATTTGTTGTGGTCTCGTGATGAGGGAGTGAGTCGGTTGTATTTCGCTCAAGTCTAACATGGGTGTGCATTTGGTTGCACCTGTTACACGCGCAGAATAACATGAGATTCGCGTCGAATGAGATGCCTCCGCTCGATCTACGGCGCATTTTCCTGCGTGCGCCCATGTTTGTATAGCGGGCGATGTTGACCGTAATTGACCGTAAGTTATGTGTAAGGCCGCAAAGCCCGTCTAATAATATACTAGTTGACCCACGGTAATCCGCCAACGTTATGCAAGGCGGTGTCGGATTATCGAATTTGTCGGATTACAGAGTACTGCCACAGCCGTGGTAATCCGGAACTTTTTGAAAAATAGTACCTTGTAATCCGACAAATTAAGTTACATATCAAATATAAAATAATAAAGTCACGTGATGCACAATGAATAACAGTAAATAATATTTTTTTTAACTCTTTTAAGCCAGTACTTAGCTACAATCCAACCTGATGGTAAGTGGTGATGTAGGTGAAGCGCACTGACTTAACAAAAGCCTATTCACTCTTGCCTCGAAGACACCCACACTGTAACCAGATGGAAAGACAAATGCTGGCAACTTATTCCACTCCTTTGCTGTACGCATGACGAACGACGTAGCAAACCGTTTGGTTCGAATGCGTGGTAAGTCGACAACGAAAGGGTGGAAGACTGGCCGAACGTCTGGTTGTCCGATGGTGGAAGGGAGAGGGAGGTATTAAATTTTGCGATTCCTGCGCACACTCTCCGAAATGTAACCTGTAGAAGACCAAAAGGCTGGCTACTTTACGCCGGCGTTCGAGGCTGGTAAGATTAGTTTCAACCAAATTCGGGTCACCAATAAGCCTCTTAGCACGCCTTTCCATTGAGTCCAAGGCCGCTAGGTGGCATTTTGCAGCACCAGCCCATATACGGCAGCAATACTCCATCCACGACCGGACTTGCGCTTTATATAAAGTAAGCATCTGTCCCGGCGTAAGGTATCGCCGCAACTTTGCAAGGACTCCTAGCTTCCTTGCAGCCACTTTGGCCTTGGACTCAATGAACCGTCCGAAGTTCTGATTTGAGGCTATCTCAAACCCCAGAAACTGAAGGCGGTCGGTGTATTCCAGTGATACATTTCGGAAAGGAGGAACAAAGATGAGCTGGCTGGCGCTCCATTTGGTACAGTGTACTAGCACGCCGCTATGAAGTCCGACTCAGGTCTCATGTTATTATGCAAGAGTAGTAGTTGTAGCTAGCTAAACATAGGTGCTAGGAAACATAGGAGCCGTGGTAGCTCAGTGGTTAACGCTCGCTGTAAATATAACAGAACGCGAGTAACCCGGGTTCGATCCCCGCCGGCACCAATGAAATTGTTAATTGCAATTTTAAGTGCTGATTTACCACGTGCTCGGCGGTGAAGGAAAACATCGTGAGGAAACCTGCATGTCTGAGGAATAAGAAAAAAAAATATTTCGAAGACTTGTGAAGTTCGTCAACACGCATTTGGGCAGCGCGGCGGACACTTCCTTGCCCTAAAACCCTCTCAGAAATGAGGGGAGGCCTGAGCCCAGCAGTGGGACGTATATAGGCTGTAACTTTACTTTACTTTACTAAACATAGGTGCGTCCACACTTCAGCGTTTAGTCGTAACGTATACAATACATGGAGTAATATCAGAGTGAACAAAAGTGCGGAAGTCTCATACAATGTACGTAAACAAGCTCAAGATTCACCTACTTACAGTCGACAGTAGTACACAAAGTAAATACCGCGATATTTAGCAGTACCGACGCGGGCATCTTCATCAATCCTTACTTTTTCTGTTGTTACAGAATTTTCTTATACACTAGTCGCAATAATTAAGAGATATAAAAATAAAAAATGCATTCATGTAAAAATCATCGAAGAAAAGTTCTTGAGGGGCAAAGTTAAAAAAAGAAAACTTTTTTGCTTTGATTGACGATAACTCCGCTGCAAATATTTTTGATTACGTCAAATTAAAGTGCATTAAATTTTCGAAAAGAGCTTTTTAGTAGAACAATGAAAAAAAAATTGAAGCTAAGAATTAAGAACATTTGGATTTTTTTTCGGTAGTTCCTTAGAAAGTTTTCACATTTTGAGCTACAATTTTCTTTTTTTTTTTTTTTTGCTGTACGATCATTTTCCTAGGAGTTACATCTTGTTGAAAATCACCAAAAAAAAAATTTTTTATTTTTTTATATCCCTTAATTATTACGACTAGTGTATAAAAAAATTCCGCTTTTATGTGCGTATGTTACGAGAAAGCTTCCGTAGTCTCGTTCGCTCTGGTAATACTTTGTTTAAGAGACCGATCTAACATTCAATTTGCCGAGACTTGGAGTAAACTCAGTTGGCACTTTAAAGTTTTAAACCTTAGTTTTCATAATAGGAACAAGCCTACTTGACAAAAGTTTTTGGCACTGATACTAATAAATATTTTCACAAAATATCTAAATATACCTAAATAATACAAAAAAGAAATTAAGTAATAGTTGCCTCAAAGCGTGAAATTTTGCGAACGGGACGAACGAACTATGAGAATACACTATAGACTCTACAACTTCATCGCCCAGCGTAAGCGCTCACCGTATGCGAATTATTACTGTAAGCTGTATGTATTAAACTACATCATAAATAAATGCACATTCGGTTTGCGTTGTAAAGTATTCACGCGTCCAAGAGTTTTAAAGTAATTAAACAAAGATCTTATTATAAATTATTTACTTTTTTTTCAAAATCCTAAACGACCAAAGAAACTAAAACCAAAATACGAAATTAAACAACCATATTTTTAAACAATTTTTCACTTTCGTGCATATAGTGTCTATAGTATTTTCTTTACACAACTATATTACTATTTGTTGAATGAATACTAATTACCTATAAATAAAAACATACGGACACGGTAGATACATAAATATGTTTTAAAATATAGAAAAATGTTTAACATTCTTAAAATCTTCACGTTATAGTACGTACTTGAGTTGAATTGTATAGGAGTACACAGTGTGTGCGTTTTATATCGTTACGAGAAAGCTAATTTAATTAAGAAGCGACAGTAGCCTTAATGGTTAGTGAGCGGATTGTAAGCTCGGAGAGTCGTGGGTGCGAATCCGACGTTCGATTATGCTTTTTTTGACGTGGTTACCGGGAATATCAGTAACGTTATTAGCATTATTGGTATTTATTTAATCTGTTTTAAGAACAATACATAGTTTGAACATAAATAAATAGTTCTGAATATGGTTTTAATATGAATACGTAATGAGATTAAAATATTGCCAACAACCGTGAGACATTTACAACAAAAATAAAATTGAAATAATTTTTACCAAAAATTTCTGCAATAAAAATTCATAGCGTTATTTTTTTTTTCAAAAATGTTTATACCCAATTAAGTAGATAGTTAAAAATTGTCACATTTATAAAACTTCAAAACCTCATAATACACATTAAAAAAATTTAAGAAATTTAGGTTGCTATTCTAAATTTGAGCTTTTTATAGTTCCTATGAAGTTAGATTTTGAGGAACTATAATTATACTGGATGACCTTTTTTACAGTCTGGAATTAGGGTGTAACAGGTGAACGGAGTAGAAGCCTATGGTACTGATATTTTACAAAAAAAAATCTTGACTACTTAAATAACTTAGTTTTGAAAATTTCATATTATACTCGCTATTAGTTAGAAGCTTAGAAGCCATAACCTAAGAATATGGAGTGTAGAGGTAAGGAGAACAATCTCTCATAGGAGAATAGTTGAAAAAGTGTCATCTGTAAGCAATAAATAACAGTTCAAAAACTCTCCACAACAGCGCTGGAGTAGCTACAGGAAACAGCTACATGAAATGAACTTAGCAGTTGTCGACGGTGTGAAGTATGCTGCTAAACTGTTCAGTAGCTCTAAAATGTAAAATAATTTTATTTAGTAAATATATCCTCGAAAAAGTCGTCTATCTCACTAATATTTAATAAAACTATTATTTACGGATTTTATCGCGTTTAATTACTTTAATTTATTTTTATTATTATCCCGACGTTTCGGGTGCTTTACAGCACCCATGGTCACGGGGGGGGGACTGTCCCCCCCTGTCCATTAAAGTAATTAAACGCGATAAAATCCGTAAATAATAGTTTTATTCAATGTGTAGTGTTCCGTAAATTCGGCGCGTTTTTTACCCCGTAGCTACAGTGGCGCCACCCTTATTTAAAGGTTTCTACGGACACTTTAATACATAGTCTGTACTCCTTAATTCTACAGTCCATACCTACGAACATATCCAGGGATCACGTTATCAAATACACAAAGTATATAATCTGTAAGTCTGTAAACAATTTCCAAATATTTTATTGTAATGTTACTTAAACTTTGTTTATTTTTTTACCTGCCAGTTACACAAATATCGCTTGCCTATTGTATTAAGTATCCAAGAACTGGCCGTGAGTGTGAGGTTGCGGCGCAGATCTCTTAGCCGAGGCCGTGGTCCTCGAAGAAGCCCTGCGGTGTCTCCTCCTGCAACAAGGATCATCACTGAGCCAGTGCCGCTCGTGGTCGGTATTAGACCGAGCTATCGCTTTTCGGCAAATGTGCAAAAAAATGCACATTTTATTTCCTGGTCATTGTCCAAAAAAGAACCATCTTTTGACGAAAACAAAATAACATTTCTTAACGAAAATATATTATGGAGTGCATCCATCACATGTGCTAACCCGTTAGTTGAACAAGCAAAGCAACATTGTCAAATACTCAATTATAGATTTTTATATATCAGAAAGCTTTGACGGGTTGATTATGTAACTTTTAGTTGAACACGTTTGGATCTGAAATATATACAGGGTGTCTCACGGCAGAGTTAGGATTTTGAAATGAAATAAAAGTAAATTTGCATATTTTTGTGAAAACATTTTTATTGAAAATTATTGAACTATAATGCGGATTTTATTTTTTAAATATTACATCTTCCAGATGTCTTCCATTTCGTAGCACGCACTCACGGAAACGATCCATCGCATTTTGTATAACGCGCCTAAGCATAGCCGGCTCGATGTCGCGTATTTCTCGTTGGATATTTTGTTTTAGCTCAGCGATATTCCTAGGAGTATTGACGTAAACTTTGCTCTTAAGGTACCCCCATAGAAAAAAATCCATGGGGGTCAAATCTGGTGATCGCGGAGGCCACGCGATATCACCAAAGCGGGATATCAATTTTTCAGGAAACAATTCACGAAGTTGGTCCATAGTGGCTCTTGCAGTGTGGCAAGTGGCTCCATCCTGCTGAAACCACGTTCTTGAGCTGTAGGCTGGATGTTCTTGAAGTTGGGGTATAAAATAATTGGATATCATTTGCCGATACACCTCACCAGAAACAGTTATCGTAGCACCTGTCGCATTTTCAAAAAAATACGGCCCGATTATTCCATTGACCGAAAGAGCACACCACACTGTCACTTTCGGGCTATGCAGCGGTCTTTGATGTTTTTGTCTGGGATTGACAACTGACCAAAAGCGATAATTTTGTTTGTTAACATTTCCATTTAAATGGAAATGTGCTTCGTTACTCCAAAACACAGTATTCAAAGTGTGAAATCTCTCAATGATTGTCTGGCAAAAACTTTTACGTAAATTGTAGTCATTTTCATTTATTTCCTGCACTATCTGTATTTTATAGGGATAGAATTTCAGATCACGTTTTAAAACCCGCTCTACGGTTGATTTGGTGACGTTTAAAGCCGCCGCTCTTTTGCGTATTGACAAGCGTGGATTGCGACGAACGCTAGCTGCCACTTCGTTTATTGTTTCTTCCGTCCTTGAAGTTCTGCTTGGGCCCGGTCGCGGTTGATTTATAGCGGAACCGGTAGCTCGAAACTTGATAATCCATTTACGAATCAAATTTTCGCTTGGTCCATCGTGTAAACGTCTGATATTGTAGTGAGAAGAAAACTGTCTCCTAGCCACAACGTACGATTCTCCACCTTTCAAAAACGCTTCGATAGCGAACGAGCGGTGCTCACCCGACCACTGCGACATCGTGACTAACGAATCCGCACGAACGACGAAGCTACTGCGCTCCACCCCCCGCGCTTACTTGCAACGGTTTTTTAAATATTTAAATTTAAAATCCTAACTCTGCCGTGAGACACCCGTTATATATATATATATATATATATATAACACTAAAGAAAAATAAAAAGGCCAGTTAAAAAAAATTCACACTGAATGTATTTAATTTTAAAATGGAATACAACCGTTACATCCGGTTCATTGTATCGGTCGCGCATAATACGATTTTTATATTATAATGTCATCCATCAAATGATAATACTAAAATCCTTTTTTATCAGCCAGCGTTTCATAAATTACAAAGCGTCAAGGAGTTTTATTTTATTACCAAATTAGTCTAATATTGTAATTTTTGAAGAGCTGGTTTATATGATTGTGAATGTAACAAAATGCTAGTAAAATGATTTTTCTTTTAAACTAATAATTCAAACAATGCAATAAAATTAATTTTTAAACAATACCAAAAATTAGAAAGCTTTCAAAAAATACTGTATTTCAAAACAAATCTCATTAGTTATTAAATAAAACAGAATAAAAAGAGTTGAAAAGTTCTGAACCTATAGCCAGTGCCTCACCAGTGTGATAGGCGTTCTCACTTTTCCAGTAGGTAGCTTAGTTAACTCAATAAAAATCTAAAATCTACTACTGAACATAAACTTCCTCTATAGATTGACTCATAAGTAGATATTCGCTATAGTTGCCACGATTTGCAAGCGAGTTGGCAAATGGAGTTTTTTTTTTTCATTATATAGAGCTATCTTGATGATGCCGCTGCCTATCTCCTGTCTCATTTTCTTCAATCGCTTCTTACGACACCCATTGCATGATATGGGGTAGTGGATATTCTCAAGTCGCGCCGCCTTTACACGGCACTTTACTTTTTTAATTTTTTTGTAGGATAGGGTGACAAACGAGCACACAGTCCACCTGATGGTAAGTGGTTGCTGCGGCCCATAGACATCTACATCTATCCACAACTACAAAATGCAGATGCGTTGTCAACTGTGAGGACTAAGATGTAATTCCTCGTTTCCAGTAAAAAGGGTCCTTGACTCCCTACACTCACCATAAGAAACACAGCAGCATTAAGCTGCTATTTCACGCTGGTATTCTGTGAGATTGTGTGAGATATTAGTATAATAAATACTTTTTTAAAGCTAAATGACAATTCGAGTAATTGAACCATGATTGGTATTTAGTTAAATTAAAGTTTGGAAATTGTTACAAAATTCTTACTCGTAAGGATGGAAAAAAATACACAAAAAATGATTTCATTTATAGGTAGAATGGACTACTCTCCTTCCTTATTCGATATTGATCATGAGTGTCGTTACACTACAAGGGGCAATTATCTTCTGTTGGTTGGACTCAGGCCAAACCTAAGGCTATATGAAACAAGCTAGAGGCGGAAAGCCAGAGATAGATCGATCTGGAAAAATTAATTAGGTCCACGCACAGATTTAGATAACAGTGACAATAATAAGTGATGGAATTCTGCTACGCGAAGATATGTCAGACTTTGCGCACAGTACTCAGAAGAATGTAGAGTTATGTGGATTTGCAAGTTTACAGTGTAATATAAAAGGAAACCATATGATTATTATCAAATAGCTAAAATAATTTAATAACATATTACACGTTATGGAAATTTAATAAAGAAATTCAAGGCTTTCATAAACCTACGTAAATGAAATATACAGGGTTATTTTGCAATAACCGGCTAAATTAGCAGAGAAGGTTCAGAAGAAGTAATATACCTATATTACTTATTCTGAACCTTCTCAGTGAGTAATATGGGCAAATGGCGAAGAAAAATTTATAAAAAAAATATTTCAACACTCTGTCCTTTTTATCCTTTAAATTCAAAATGCGTGGTAATGCATTATTTTAACTGATTTTACTGCGCACGCACACATTCGTAAGGGTCGATCGGTAGGCAAAAACGTTGTTGCCTATAAATCGCATTCAATTTGAGATAATTTCAAATAAAAGTAGAAGCCTTATTTACTCGTATCTTTAAAAACTGCAATAACGGTATATCATTATATATATTTGAGCTTAAGTTTAAAATTTCGCCACTCTTCGAAAAATAACCCTGTATAGGAGTTTTAAAGCCAACATAAAATTATTTGTCGAATAAAACGATAATGGCTGATTACCTTTGACGACGTACGTATCACTTTTAATTTTGTTACTATAAAAATGATTTTTATGTGTTGCATACGCGTCATTTATGATTTAAAACATTAACACGTTCTACGCTAGAGTAATGGGGATTTGTAAATGGTCTGTATCATAATTCATAACACATCATTTACAAATTTCCATTAAAGTTAAAAGGTTTGTATTCAATGGTAAATTTTATTATAATTTTACTTAGAGAATCGTTAGGTTCAGAAGTTTTCAGCCACCTTAAAATTAAAAAATAATGGTAAGTTTCGATTGAAAAACAACAACTACATTCTAACAAAAAAAAATATAAATAAAATGCACCTATTGGTCCACTTTGGTATAGTCACCAACTTTAAAGGGTTTGTATAATTATACTTGAAAGTAAAAAAAAAACATAATATTTAAAGTCACATAAAAATAAGCGATTCATAAAATCAAATAACATTAAAAACGAAAATGTTCTTAATTCCTATACTTTTTGCGTTGTCTTACAATAAGTCGAAATTTGATAATAGAGACGGCTTTGAATTATACATTCCATACTTTGAAAACACCCTGAACGAAATATTTTAAATTTAATATTTAATTTCAATACATAATTGAATAAAGTTGTAACTTGTATTATCCAGTACTATTTAACGAAGTCCTTGTAAATTTATTAAATATTTGAATATATTATACTTACTTTACAAAAATATTTGTTTACATTTATTACTTTATGATTACATATTATAAAAATCTAACTATTTAGATTAATGCGTATGACTTTATTGCAAGTACACAGTGCAGACTTTATTTGTATGCAAGAAATAATGTTAAATATGGAATCATGGCCAATTTTTACGAACTTCAATGCATTTAGATACGGTCGCATTTATGTCGCGTCGCCTTGGCATGTGCCGCATTTTGTCAAAAGCTACATCAAAGGTCGCCACGTGCGCCGTACACCCGCAGGAAATTTGGCATTTTAAAATGAAGTACCCTTGTCAAAGGATCTTGCTACCTAACCTGTGTTTATTATTTTGTATTCCTATTTTATTACAATAACCATAAGAGTAAAATAGCATTTTAATTTATTCTTAGAATAGAAAACATTTATTAAACAAACACAGTAATAAATAATAAATTAAAAGCAAAATAATAAGTGCACCTCCGGGTGTACCGACACTATCTTTGTGTACAGACTATAATTTTAACTTACTTTTAATTACCAATGTTTTAAATGTTTTGTACTCCCACATCACGACACAGAAGTTGATTAGTAAAATTAATTAATAGTT